AATACTGCAAAAACGTGTGCACACATTGCTGAAATAGATTTGCCGTAACATATGCAATAGACGTATACCTCCTGTGATTGATTGCCCAATCCCCTAGCCAGAGTGTGAAAATGCGAAATATATTGCCCGAAATCAAATTGTCAACGCATCCCAATGAAACAGAGGGGATTTTCCACTAAAATGCAAAGCAATTAGCAGCCAGCTTTTGAAAAAGTACAGGAAACGGAAGAGGATTTCTTCCCCTTTGAGTTTTTCATTCCGTAAAAACTGCAATTTTTAACACCTTCGTCCCCTTGAGTGGCGCCACCTGGTGGCCAGCCCCCGCAGATCTGGACTCGCTAATGAACAACAAACTTAAGGGTTTTCCGGTGGAAAAAAAAACGCAACGTGAAATGGCAACAAAATATCGCCAATAAGGCAAAAGAAATTACAGAAATTAAATGAAATGCAATTAACCGGCTAAATGGGCAAAACCCTCGAGGAAGGGAAAAGCAAGAAAGTTGCGAGGAAAAATGGAAAAGTCGTTGGGAAAGTAGTGGAATTTTTTTTTGCTAAGGAGAAAGAATCCGATTTGTAAACTTAGAATCAGAAATCACACTTCTGTTCGGTAATTACCAAATGCAAAGTAACAAGACACACCTTGAAAAATAAATGAATAAATTAAGTAAAATATCAAAGTATGTGATTTTTTATTTGAATATGCAAAAGCTTAAAAATTGAACATTTTATAAATAAAATTTTCTATTATTATTATTATTATTATTATTATTATTATTATTATTATTATTATTATTATTATTATTATTATTATTATTATTATTATTATTATTATTATTATTATTATTATTATTATTATTATTATTATTATTATTATTATTATTATTATTATTATTATTATTATTATTATTATTATTATTATTATTATTATTATTATTATTATTATTATTATTATTATTATTATTATTATTATTATTATTATTATTATTATTATTATTATTATTATTATTATTTGATTACCATGTTAAATAATAATAATGAACGAATCTTAGTCTCAAAATGAATATTAAATTAGGAATATTAAATTATAATGTATTTTGAAGATAGTTTTTCCCTAGTGCATAACTTCCCTGCAATTGAATGGCATTGCCGGCGGCTCATCCTTGATTCCTTGGCCATGCAAATGAGTTGGATTTATGCATCCCAGTTGCCCCTCCTTGGAGCTCCATCTTGCAGCTCCTTCCGGGCATTTTCGATGCACATCGATTGGTTTCGCATCAACGCAAAATGCGAAACGGATTATTAAACTTGCCACTGGCCAGGTGTGTACCGACCAGAGCAGCACAGCCACTGGGAGAGCGGCTGGCAAATGGGAAATGGGAAACGGGGTATGGGATATGGCGGTAGGCGGTGTGGGGCTGGAAGGGAAATTTGTGGAAGACAATTTTGCAGCTGGTGCAATTTTCGATAAATTCTTTGCTCAAAAGATGCGCTGGATAAATGGGAAAGGAAAAGGGCGGAATGGAACGCCGTGGGATGCAGCAGATATTTCATTCATTTCCATAATTTTAATAAAATTGAAGAAAAATATTCAAGGCAGTGCCGCAGAAGCAGCGACAGCGACAGCAGCGGACGATGGCGAAATGAAAAGCGGAAAATGTGAAAACGCAAAATATGCGGCTATGTAATGGCGACCTCGTCACACGCACAGTGATCCAAAATCTGGAAAAACCTGTAGTAATTACCAAAACTATATCTACCTAAATTAGTTAAATAGTATTGCTATTTAGGTACAATAATGTGATTGATGTCGAAATCACAAATTAAGAAAAATTGTAATTTAAGTAAATAATATTGTTAACATTTCTAGAATCAACTAAAAACAAAACTAATTGAAATCCGTTTTGTAACCAACCAGAAAACACAAATAAATTCTTAAATAAATAAATATATTTATGCAACACATTTTTTGTTAAATTTTTTAAAAATTGCTTATGGTTGTTTTCAAAGTGGATCTTTTTTAAAATCCTAAAACTGTTAGTTATAGTTTGTTATTTAATGAATTTCTCACCACTAGTTTCACAGTGCTTGATTGCTGGCAGTGGCATTTTCATCGTCTTCATTCCAATTCGGTTTTCTCAACTTTATTTTCCTTTTCTACCTGTCCCCGTTCGGTTTTGTGTTTTCCTATTTTTATGCTATACATGTGCCGCTATTTACCCCTTGCAGCCGACGCCCCTGCCCCCCAGAAGTCACTCATATATATGTATATAAATATATTTGCCCATGTGGAGTGATGGGGTACCATGTCAAGCAAATGACATAATTCAGTTGCTGGCAAAGTTTTTGACTGATGCCATGACAAGCGGCTACCCTACCCCTACCCCTTACCCCCGCACCCCCCCTTTAACGCTCCTGGGCACCACACCACCAAGGGGCCATCTCCACCCATGGCTTCTTGGCCAAAAGTTCAACGTTGGATTCTGATGCTCGCTGATTGCCGACCATCTTGCCGAACCACTCATTCTCGTTCCCTTTTGAAAACACTCAAAGAAAAATATCGACCTGAATGATAAGCTTGAAAAATTATGCCTTTTTACAGCATATATTGGAAATAAAAATGTTTTCAATCATGGGATAAATAACGTACGCAAAATAAAGTTTCACAACAAATGAAATATATTTTCATACTTACAATAATTCATAGCTTCATTAAATTGGCTAACAAAATAACGACCTACTTATTTCGTTTAAAGGCTGCTAAAAATTGAATTTTTCAATTAAAAAGGGGATACAATTCAGAACTGAATTGCAATGCTCTTTTAAATAAGCATTTCTATTTGTTACCTTGCCAATTCATCAATATTTTTAGTCGAATCTTTGATACAAATAATACAAATTTTCAAAGTGCATTTGTTTTTGAAAGAAAAACAAGTCGAAGGAACCGAAGCCAGAAGATATGTCACCAGGTGGAAGTGCGCATTTAATCCAACCAAAAGTCCTAACATCAACAGCCAAACTGTTTCGGAAAACAGAGTGAAAAAAAGAGTCAAGTCAAGGACTAATACCAAACATGTGCCGCCTCTAAACAATGGGAATGACTTTCACTGAGATGGAGGGTGGGGCAGTGGGAAATTGTACAAAAAAAAATGCAGGGGCAAATTAAAATGTTCTAAAGTTTTCAAACAGTACGACAGACGGGGTGAGCCCCCCCCCCCTTCATGGCAAATTTACGAGGTTCCCCCGTAAAGCCACTTGAAAGCATCTCTCGCTCATAACTCATGATGTTCTCGGGCCTCTCCTTGGTCCTAAATCTTTTTTATTTTCCTCCTTTCTTGTTCTATTTTTTTTTTTTTTTTTTTTTTTTTTGTTCCTACCATTGGGCTTTTAATTACGCCCAAGCCCCGGCAACATCAGAATGGCCCGAAATTAATTTAGCCAAATCATGGGGAATCAACAGGAGTAGGCCGAAAAAATAAGGACATGTGCGTGACGAAAGGGGAAAAGGGCAGCCCAAATAATAGAATGGAATAGAATGGAATGGCATGGTTTGGTAGGGAAAAGGGCACATGCAAACAAGGGTTAAGCAGCCTCCACATGACATGTGTGGGCGTGGCGTCTGGAACCCCCTGTTTTTTTATATTTATGGATACTACGTGTTGTAGTGGGCGTGTTATGGCCACCTTCTATTCCGCTGCCGTTTTTAGGGCCAAAGCGACAACATAAAACAGTCGTAAAATTTATTAAGTGACATTTTTGTGTATGTAAAATAAAGCACCGCAAGCACACACAAAAAAAAGGGGGGAAAAAACAGGCATAATCATAAAGGAAACCAACAGAAAAATATAATAATAAAACATCGTAAACACGAGAAGAACATTTGCTGGACAAACGTTAATTGCGCAATGGCTACATTAAAATCACAAACAATAACAAAACGAAAATAACTACAAAATATGAGAAAATCCAAGAGGCCTGTACACAAAAGTTGACCCACCGAATTTCCCTTGGAATTTTTGCAATCAATTAAATATTAATTAATTGGCTTGTTGTCTTCTCCCTTTTTTGGCCAAGTTCACTTGCTAATTTTACATTTCCTAATTGCTCATCAGTCGCTTGATTGTTGCCCCCTTACACCCCCACCCTCACCCTGGAAATATCGACCCCCTTTTCACGAGGTTCTCGCTCATTTAGCCGGTTAATTGCATTTCATTTAATTTCTGTAATTTCTTTTGCCCTATTGACGATATTTTGTTGCCGCTTCTCGTTACGTTGCCCCAAGTTTGTTGTTCATTAACGTGTTGTTGTTCAAAGTTGATTCCAAATCCGCGGGGGCTGGCCGACAGGTGGCGCCACCACCGGGACAAAAAGGTGTCGAAAGGGGTCAAATTTCCAACCATCGTCGCTCCATCTCAAATTCAGCCCTTTCACTGCTAATTGCACAGCATTTTAGGGTCCCCATTTCGACTGCTCGCGTTCCGGCATTGCAACATTTCGTTTTTGAACATTTTATGGAGCTCTAAAAAAAATTGTAAAAGTTATCCTAAACCTAGCTTATAACAAAATTTGGTGATTTTTATTGTGGGCTGCAATTGACGAGCTAGAGAGGTTTTGGCGAATATCCAAGCCTTTTTAACTCCTTCTGTAGACTGCACGTTTTATTAAAAAAATGTAAATTTATATATAGAACTTACAATTTTGTGGCCCTAGAAAAGTACAATTTTAACCAGCTTCACAGTTTGTGGCTTAAACTATTAGACCCCTTTAATAAAGGTTCACATTTATTGGCAGTCAATTTTTCAAAGTCATTTTTAAATTAAAATCAAATCAATTTTTCAATGTCCTGTGAAAAAGCGACCCATTTCTTAACTTGACATATCAAATTTCGTGTTTAAGCTGGCACATCTCTTAGTGTTTGTGCTTAAATTTTCTCATAATTTGCATTTAAATGTATCAATTTATTCATTTATTAACTCTTAATGTATGTGTATAAAGTGCATTTTAATGTATCAATCGAAGCCATTTTTAAGTTGGCTTTATCACAATTTCAATGTCTTGCGGAGCGATGACCCAAAACGGAGTTCTGTGAATTGCTTTGAACTTGTTCTTGTTTGTAGGCCAAATGGTTTATGATTCAGCTAAACTGTCGTTCTGATTGGGTTCTAGTGATGATAGGGTTTCTGCCACCGAATCCACCTGTTCCCCTGCCAAGGAGTCCGTTTTTCGGCGGTATGTGAGACCCCGGGGCGGATTCGCCGGCGGCGGCATGGGCGGCGGGGGCGGTATCAAGGGAAGGGGGTGCTGCAGCCGCCAGGGATAGACGCCGCCATGCCGCTCCATGATCCCGCTCTTGTGCGGCGGCCGCAGCTTGAAGGTGACGCCCCGCCGGATGGTGGCCAGTGCCCTGGCCTCGCCCTGCAGCGCATTGTACAGCTCGACCTTCTTGCGGGCCACCGTGTGGGTGGTGGGCGGACTGATGGCCTGGCTGACGCAGTTGTCGCGCCACCACTCGAACTCCTCCTGGGTGAAGGCCAAGTTCGAGATGTCGCCGATCTCGTGCAGCACCACCAGATCCTCGTAGCGCAGTCTCAGGGCCACGTTCGTGGGCACCTCCTCGAGCTGGTAGCCAAGGTCTAGTTCGCCCAGGCCCAGCACCTCGGCGATCCGATAGTCGGGCAGCTCCTCCCGCCCGTTGATATTCACCCGGACAAAGCATCCCGTGACTGCCTGTTCGAAGGCGGGCCGCACCAGGAGCAGCCCGATCCGGTGGCGACTTAGGCGCAGTTGCTCCAACTCCCGGCAACTGGACAGCGGCACATCCGGAGCGGGTCTCCGCTCGTGTCCCTCGGCCCAGGACTCATCCTCGTCGTCGATTCGCAGGGGCGTGGCCCTTAGGCGCCGCAATTCCCGAACTATTTCCGCCGCCGGGCGACGACTCCGCTGGCGGGACATTCAAAAGGTTTGCGCTTTAAACACTTAAACAATTTTCGAGGACTTTGGACATTTGCTTTGACCAAAAGTAAAATGCTGAGAGCTGGAAAGAGGCCAGGCAAACAGTTGGAGAAAATTCAGAAACTTAATAACGGACTACTTAGATACGGGAAATTATAGCTTGTGAGTTTTTAACACTTTACCATTTTAATAAAAAAGTATTTTAATAAAAAAAATAACGTATTATTTTATTATAAATAAAATAAAATATAACTTAAATATATTTACATATATGTATTAATTTGAATCAATTTAAATCAATAAATTATAATAATTCGGGGAATTATAACTTTATTGATATAGTTCAAAGTGGTGAGATTTTAACTCTTTGCCACTTTAAATAATAAAATAAGTAAACCGGATAAGCTCATATTTCCTTTTGATAACAAAATACTTCTTATAATTGTAATCATTAAAATATAATTTAATTATTATTACATAATCACATACATTGTAACATATCATTTAATTAAAAATCATTAAAAAGTCATTTATTTATCATTCCATATATGTTTATTTTTGAATCAAGCCCTTGTTTTTTCAGTGTTGTGTGCAGAATTAATTAGGCATTTCAATTGTCTTTGAATGGCGGCCAAATTGTAAAAACGGGTTTTACGAGCTTATATGCGGTTTTGTGTGAGGCTTATAAAAATACCCTCTTTAATATTTGTTCCATTCAAAATCTAAACTAATTGGGAATGAAATTTAAAAAATTAACTCAAACCATAAAAAATGTATATATAAACAAAAGCCTGGCATTTAGTATGTTTAAATATTATTTTATTTTGGATTTTTAATAACGCATTCAGAAAGAACATATTTAAGCTGTAGCGAAAATTAAAAGTATGCTACCATTATTAAGCGTTTTAAATAATTTGATTTTATTGGAATCGATTTTGATCGGATATTTTGTTAGATAATTTAATTTTTTATTTTTGTGCAGGGTATCCTCGGGCTTGCGCTTTTTTTATCTAGTTCATCCATTCGAATGCATTTAACGACCCGCCTCCGTTTTATGCCCTCCATAAATGCCAGGGGCTAAAACTATTAAATTTATATTAATTTCTCAGTTTTTCCTTGGCGAGCATTTCACTTGGCACCCGCTGCTTAGCCCCCTAATGCCCCCGCCACGTCCTCTTTTTGCGATTATACCTGCTGGAGTGAAATGGGTGGATCTTTTCCCATTTGGCAAAAGATTTATTATACAATTGCTTTAATTACAGTTGCAGCTAATTGTATGCGGACCTCCCGGGCAGATGCTACTTTTGACGCTGGCACAGGGCCCATTGGGTGTGGGTTAAGGAGGCTAAGGGGGTCACTGGTGGGTTAATGGGTGGGTGGTGGTTGCTGGCTGGTGGTTTTTGGCTGCCTGATGGAGGGGTAATGCAAAATCTTTGCATGCTTTGTATGTGAGTCTGCATAAATAACTTGGCTGTATGTGTGGCCCATCGAATATGCTGCTCACGCACAAATTTCCTTGCCACTCCCACTCCCAATCCGCCCACTCTGCACCACCACCCCCTTTTCAGCCAGAATCTTTGGATCCTCGGCCCCATCCTTCAGCATGCGCACACACTTAAGAGTAAACCCGTTTATGCAAGCTCAGTCATCATTATCATCGCCATCATCATCATCCGCATCATCATCATCATCATCATGGGCATCCACAACACCATCGCTATCGAGGCCATATCCCATGTCCTTCAGAACCCCCACTCCCCCCCAAAATCCAACCCACTCACAACATCCAACACCTCCACATCTACGATGAGCTGACCAACAGAAATTCGCTTCGATTTCGATGATGCTTTCTTTTTTGGCCATAAAGCGAACTGCGCACTGCAAATAAAGTTGGTATACGAAGTCCACTTAAGAATACAAACATTTTAAAATGAATTTAGATTCAAATAATTTCATGCAATGTTTTACCTATTACTCTGAGCACAGTTAAAAATATTTCTCGAACTTTCACATATTGTGAAATTTCAGAATTAAAAAAAAAATTACTAAAAAATTTTCAAAAAGAAATTAATGAATTTATTTAAATATATATTTCATTTACAACATAAGAGGATTTCAAACCATGATAATTTGTTATTTGTATAGGTTTCAGAGAAGAAGTATAAAATAAAATATAAATATTATTTAACAATTTTAATGTGCAGTCTTATAATTATTTTGGTAAATTAAACAAAAATTTTGAAATATATGTTATAATTGATTTTGGAAATTTCGAATATATTTCAGTGCACCGACGGTGATGAAGATGGTTAAGGATTTAAAGAAAGGAGGATACGTTGCAATAGACAAAGAGTTGGGGGAAGGATTACAAATAAAAAATTTAAGAAGGGGCTTTGTTTTATAATAAATTTATAAATCCAGTTCGTCGTAAAATACTTTTGGAAAACCATTTGAGGAAAGTAAAAAATTTCACATTATTTAAGAAAACTAAAAGCAAGATATAAAAATAATTGGTTTTAAATCAAGGTTTGAAAAACATAATACATACAAGTGTGATTTACGTTAACTAACTATGTAAAATATAATGCTCACATTGTCTTGCCCGATTATTCATACTAAGAATCTATATACACACTTTACTAGTTGAAAATGCATCCATTACTCAGAGTTAAAAAGGCATGATCCTTTTGCCTAACTTTAAAACAAAGCATGTTGCGTTGAAGTTATTAAAACGCCGTAGACCTGAACGTCATGCAAATAATCTAAACGGAGTGGCTACGGGTGTGAAAAATCCTAGAAAATGCTGAATGCCATGAGAGCCATCCATCACGGGGGCATCAGCTGGTGAGGACCCAACATCAAGTCTACGAGGCTCAAGAACTTTTCCTCGAACACCTTTGGGCCGGGGGGCGCAGTACAGTCACCGCCACAAAGGCCAGTCAGCCACGCCTTGACGTTGACAGGCTGTGCAAAAAGTTTGCGCCCATCACGAGAGCCATGACCGAAGGGCGAAGGAGGAGCTCTGGGGGCGGAACCCTCATCCAGTTGGCTGACATGCCGAGCCCAGAACCCTTAAACACCACCCGCTGCCCAGTAATGTAGACATAAGTATTTAACCGGCTGGTCTTCAAATCTTAATGAAATGCAAGAAAATATAGAATATTGGATTTTACTGAGTGATCCCCCCTCATTTCACCTTAGCTTAATCAATGTTTCTGTTTGCTGCGTCTGTTGTAAAGGTCACATTATTGTTTCAAGTCATGGTCACATTGTTCTTATTTTAATAATCATATATTAAGTTCTATTAATTAGAGTTCATCAGAATCTTCAAGTTTAGTAACTCTTACTTCGTGGTATTCGAAATGAACTTAATTTCAGTTGTTAGTAGGCAAACGCACTTACCAAAAACTCAGGAACTTAAGTGCTGGAAAATTCCCGTACAGCAAGTGGCGGCGGACGCAGGCTGGATAAGAGCGAATCTAGGATACGGATACCCATGTCAAAAAAAAGAAGAATAAGGCAAAAGGAATGTGACTAGGCCAGGGGCAGTTGCCAGTTGCGAATTGCGAGTTGCGAGTTGCCAGTTGGCAGCGAGGCGAGGAAACTTGTTTGTTGCACAGAAACAAAAGCGCTTCCGCTTTTCATGTAAAATGACAGAAACAAGTGTTAATGGTTTTGGGCTTAGGCAAAAGGCAATGGCGCCGCAGAGCGCGAAGGGAAAAGGACGAAGCACGCTGGATAAAGGACGCAGAACGGACAGCTGGACAGTGTGCCGTCCAAGCAGATTATATATCACATTACAGGCGTGCTGGCGAAATAGAGCCTCTTTCGAAACAATTTGCTTCGCTTAACTATGAGCTGTTAAATAATTTAAACGATTTTCGAATAAGACTGATTCAATCATAACGTCAATTATGATTCTTCACTTTTAAAGATATTTGCAAGCTGGGTTGCATTGCTCATAGTTTTTAGTTGACAAGGTCACACTGCGTGACCTGCGTGTGGATATATAAAACACCTTGCACTACTTTTTAAATGCCACTTGCTTTAAAAATTAAATCTTGTCTAAAAAATACAAAATTAGAGCAATACAAATGTATTAACATATTTAGATTGATCGGTTAAATTCCTTATATATTTTTACTTCCAACTTTAAAAGCTGATCACATCAGGTCTAAAAAGTCTCTGTTAGTGCACTGCATTTTAAAGTAAGGGCTCCGATAGAAATTGTTTGTTTCCTATTTTCTTTGATAATTCTATCATGCTAATTTGTGGTCTTCCCTTATGACAATCAACTCTGGTTGCGTGTCATGGCATTAAGCCGTACTTCCCACTTTCTCTAGGCTTTTTTCAGCTCCCTCTCCTCCTTTCTCCTTTCTTCCTATTTTTTTCTTCGTTTCATTGCTTTTTTCCCGTTCCTCGCCTCTCAATTTTTCAGTCTGGGCCAATTTCAGTGTGAAACCACCGCAGTCTACCCCGCAAAACCCAAAAAACCCAACCACTAGACGCTTGCACCAACTTTCCGCCCCCTTTCTCCTTTTTTTTTACTCCGCCTCTGTCTGTGACGTGAGCTCTTTTGCTATTTTGAGTTGGATTTCTCTGCAACTTTTTTTTTTTTTTTTTTTTTTTTGCATAGTAGATATTTTTTTGTTTCCTTGTGCAGTTGCAGCTTTTTGCATTTTACCTCCAGGAATTTTCCGTTCCGTATGCATATGCAAATGCCTCGGCCTACATGTGTCGGTGTCTGTTACCGCACAGAACCCTCTTTTTTTCAGCCCCCCTTTTCTAGCATATGGGAAACTTTTGCCAGCATGTTGCCTATTGCTGTTTTTTTTCTGCACTCATTTTCTGGCTGATTCAAGGGACTCCCTCCCCCGCCCCCTCCCTGCACTGGTGCAGAATTACAATAATGAAAATGTATTTGCAAAACTCGCCTAATTAGTTGAATATGAGCCATGTTGGGTATTCAAATATGCACAGGCAGGCTGTCAGACAGGGACAACCAGAGTGGAAAGAAGGAGACAGACAGCCGGTGTGGGAGTGAGCGGAACGGGGAGTGTGTGGCACAGATAGCAAACACGAACTGCAAGAAGTTAAAAAAAAAAAGTTGCTCAATTGCACT